AGGTGATGGAAGCTTCTCAGAGGAGCTCATGTCTGGGGTGGACTCGGGCTCCTTGAATCTCAGTGTCCAGTGCAGGGAGATGCTCAGTTAGGGTGGCCGCTGTGGTCATTATTATTGGCCTAGACCCCTGGAGAGTGCCTTTACTGAGCTGGACCAGGTGTGTGGCCCAAGGCCACTCTACTGTCACCAGTCTGATGTAGGAAGTGCTTGTCACACCCTCCCCCACCAGCAGGAAGTTCTAAGAAAAAACTGGAACCCACAACTTTCTTTATATTTAATGAATACTTAAGTAGCCTTGCTGTTTGCCAGGCACTAAATCATTTTCAGCTGTCAACTCATTTAATCCTCAGAACAGTCCCTTGAGGCTCATTATCCCCATTTCCCAGATGACGAAATTGAGGCATCATGAATATTAAGTAACCCAGGTAAGTGGCAGAGCCACCAGGACAGAGGGCTGTTAGAAGAGTCCAGGTGGAGAAGAGACCCAAATTTGAAAATTTACAAGAATGGAGGTGGTTTGGGGAGAACCATAATTTGTGTGGAGCAGGGAGTGAGTAAGGAGGAGTGAATGCTAGGAGGAAGGTTGAAAGGGGCCGGGAGAAGGGAACCTCCTTCGTGCTCCTCCTTGCTGGATGCCAGCCTCGTACTGGGAGCATCACGGCATCAGCGCTAAGCCTTTTTCTTTTTTAAATCTTTTTCTCTCCTTTTCATTTTTGGATGGGGGAACTAGGTTTATTTATGTACTTATTTGATAATAGAGGTACCTGGGATTGAATCCAGGACCTTGTGCATGCTAAGCACACAGTCTACCTCTGAGCTATACCCTCCCCTCCCCCAGCACTAATCTTCACACCGGCACTGGAGGTAGGCACAGAGGGCCGAGCTGGAATCCTGGCCCCACCACTTCCTGGCTGTGTGACTTGAGGCACCTTCCTTGCCCTCTCTGACCCTCAGTCTTTTCATCATTAAAATGGGAGTAATAATAGTCCCAACTCCACAGGGCCATTGTGAGGATGAAATAATCAGTGTACATGAAGGACTTTGGTCCTACATAAGTGTTTCTGAAAAAGAGCGACTTGCCCAGACTCACTCAGCTGGTAAGTGGTCAGGCCAGGTTTCATCCTCACCTGTCCACACACCAGCCAGGATGGCCCTCTCCGTAGCCCCTTCCTTCCTGCCAGACACATTCCTACCACCACGCCACGCGGTGCCTGTCACCTGGCATGCCCCCCTCCATTAGCTTTTTGATATTTTGTCTTCCATCTAAATCTGGACTCAAATCCCAGAGCCCACCGGCAGGCGTGTGAGCTCTCTTCTCTCCCACACCGGATCTCCCTGTAGCAAACACCCCCAACTAGTCAGTCACTGCCGCTGCTCCCGAGCTGGGGTGGGGTCTCCTCCTTCGCAGTGGGTGGCTAGGGCACACCCGGAGCGGAGGGTTAATTAAATCACGCAGCGAGGTTTGTAGAACACGGGATGCTTCATTAGGCCCTGTGTGAACAAGCAAACGCCCAGCTCGCTCCCAGCTCCGCGCAGGCTCGCGAACAGCTGTAATTACAGCTCACACGTGGCTTCAGCAGCTCAGTGAGGCTGCCAGGCGGGCTCCTGCCTTGGGGCCCCTTGGAAAGTGGTCCTGAGGCTGGGAAGCCCCATTCTGAGCAGGAGTGTCTGTCTCTTGCTTGCCAACTTGCTAGTGGTGCAGAGCTGGGGCCCTCTGTTTAATTAAGGGCATCCAAGGGACACGTGCCAGGTTTAGGTGGCAACACACGGCTGGCTCCTCACCTAAACTCTGCTTCCTGGCAGGAGATTTCCCCAAGCTCTGAAACCAGAGAAGCCTTCAAGTGGAGGTGACAATGGAGCTTTCACCAAACAGCTGCCAAATGAAAGACAGGAAGGGCATGCCGGGTCCACCTGCTCCAAGCTAGTGGGCTGAGAGCTTGGCACCCAGTGGCCAGTTTTCTGGGAAGCTCACGGAGGCCATGTGGCATGGGGGCTTTGTGATGAGGGTTCTCTAGGATCCTCTTGGAACCCCAGAGACGAACAATGACATCTCTGGCTGGCTCTGGCCCCCTGAACTGGACCCAAGGCAGCCAGCCCTGGTCTGCCCCGCATCCT